GTTCCCTGATCCCGGTTGGGGTGGGAAGGGCTTTCCCAGGGGAAATTCCTGGGAAATTCCGGGTTTTCCGGTACCTTGGCCCAGTGGGGTCTCCCGCCGTGTTTGCGCATGATTCCCTCRTAGGTCAGCCAATAGCGGAGATGGGGAATGTCCTTCCCGTAGGGCCTGCGGAGCGGGAATGGGATCAGGAATGGGATCGGGAATGGGAATGGGATCGGGAATGAGTGGGATCAGGATTGGGATCAGGATCTGGTATGAGCAGGATCAGGAATGGGATCGGGAATGGGATCGGGGATGGGATTGGGAATGAGTGGGATCGGGAATGGGATCGGGAATGAGTGGGATTGGGAATGGGATCTGGAATGGGATCGGGATTGGGAATGAGCGGGATCAGGAATGGGATCAGGAATGAGCAGGATCAGGATCAGGATCAGGATCAGGAATGAGCAGGATTGGTATTGGGAACGGGATCGAGAGTGAGCGGGATCAGGATTGGGATCAGGATCAGATATAAGCAGGAGTGGGATGGGGATTGGGAATGAGTGGAATCAGGATTGGGAATGAGCAGGATCGGGATTGGGATCAGGATGGGGAATGAGCAGGATCAGGATGAGGATCAGGATCAGGTATGAGCGGGAGTGGGATTGGGAATGAATGGAATCAGGATTGGGAATAAACAGGATTGGGATTAAGATCGGGAATGGGATCGGCATTGGGATCGGAATTGGGATCGAGGATGACCTGGATCAGGATTAGGATCAGGATCGGGAATGAGTGGGATTGGGAATGAAAGAGATCGGGATCAGGAATGAGTGGGATTGGGATTGGGATCAGGATCGGGAATGAGTGGGATTGGGATTGGGATTGGTATCAGGAATGAGTGGGATCGGGAATGAGTGGGATCAGGATCGGGATTGGGAATGAGTGGGATCAGAAATGAAAGGGATTGGGATCGGGAATGAGGAGGATTGGGATCAGGATGACGAACGATCGAGATAGGGATCGGGTTCAGGGATGAGCAGGATTGGCATTGGGATCAGGATTGGGAATGAGTGACATTGGGAATGGGATTGGGATCGCAATCGAGGATGAGTGGGATGGGGCTTGGGAATGAGTGGGATTGGGATTGGGATCAGGAAGGAGTGGGATTGGGAATGGGATTGGCATTGGGATTGGGATTGGCATTGGGATTGGGAATGAGCAGGAGCAGGAATGAAAGGGATTGGGATCAGGAATGAGTGGGATTGGGATCAGGATCGGTAATTAGTGGGATTGGGATTGGGATCAGGATCGAGGATGAGCTGGATGGGGATTAGGAATGAGTGGGATTGGGATTGGGATCAGGATTGGGAATGAGTGGGATTGGGATTGGGATTGGGATTGGGATTGGGATTGTTATTGGGATTGGGAACATTCCGGGCCGGGCACTGACCAGTACATGATGATGTTGATGTAGCAGCTGTCACACCCGAAGCAGGGGATCGTGAATGGGATTGGGATTGGAATTGGGATTGGGATTGGGATTGTTATTGAGATTGTTATTGGGATTGTTATTAGGATTGGGANGGATCGGGAATGGGAACGGAATCAGGATTGGGATTGGGAATGAGTGGGACCGGGAATTAGTGGGATCGGGAATGAGTGGGATCAGGAATGGGATCAGGAATGGGATCGGGAATGGGAGGGATTGGGATTGGGAATGAGTGGGAGCAGGAATGGGATCAGGAATGGGATCGGGAATGGGAATGGGAATGGGAATGAGTGGGAGCAGGAATGGGATCAGGAATAGGATCGGGAATGGGAATGGGAATGAGAGGGATCAGGAATGATTGGGAATGAGTGGGAGTGGGATTGGGATCAGGATTGAGGATGAGCGGGATGGGGATTGGGAATGAGTGGGATTGGGATTGTTATTGGGATTGTGATTGTTATTGGGATTGGGATTGTTTTTGGGATCAGGAAGGTTCCAGGCTGGAATGGGCGCTGACCGGTACATGATGACGTTGATGTAGCAGCTGTCACGCCCGAAGCAGGGGATCAGGAATGGGATCGGGTATGAGTGGGATTGAGAATGGGATTGGTATTGTTATTGGGATTGTTATTGGGATCAGGATCGGGAACATTCCGGGCTGGGCACTGACCGGTACATGATGACGTTGATGTAGCAGCTGTCATGCCTGAAGCAGGGGATCGAGAATGGGATTGGGATAGGGATTGGGATTGTGATTGGGATTGTTATTGGGATCGGGAATTTTCCGGGCCGGGCACTGACTGGTACATGATGACGATGATGTAGCAGCTGTCGTGCCCGAAGCAAGGGATCGAGAATGGGATTGGGATAGGGATTGGGATTAGGATTAGGATTGTTATTGGGATTGTTATTGGGATCAGGATTGGGATCAGGATTGGGAATTTTCCGGGCCGGGCACTGACCGGTACATGATGATGTTGATGTAGCAGCTGTCACGCCCGAAGCAAGGGCTCAGCGGGATCCGGTCCCCCCGGCAGAACCGAACCTCGACCGGGAAATGCGCCACGATCCCGGGATCCGCGTCCAGCGCCGCCCGCAGCTCCAGCAGTGCCTCCCGCGTCTTCCCGCTGCTCCCGGGAAAACAGCCCCGATCCCGGTCAAATCCGGGGAAAGGGACGGGGGGTCCGTCCCAAGGAATTCCCAGATTCAGGAATGGTTGGGAATGTCCCAGTGATCCCATTTTTTGAGGTTCAAAATTGGGATGGGTTTGGGATCCTGGGGTTGGGGATCCTGGAATTGGGGGATCCTGGGATTTGGGATCCTGGGATTTGGGGATTGGGGATTTGGGGATTTGGAGATCCAGGGATTTGGGGATCCTGGGATTGGGGATCCTGGGATTGGGGATTTTGGGTTTGGGGATCCTGGGATTGGGGATTTAGAGGGGTCCCTGTGCTCAGATTCCCGGGATCCGCATCCAGCTCCGCCCGCAGCTCCAGCAGCGCCTCCCGCGTCTTCCCGCTGCTCCCAGGAAAACGGCCCCGATCCC